CTCTTTCCGACACAAACGCATTTTCCTGGTCCTCAGTTGCTTCGATTCTTTTGGCAGCTTCCAGCAACAATTTGAGTTTGTTGGAGCGGTTTCCGTTGTCGACAGCAACTTCAACCAACGGCACTCTTTCCAGCGCAACCACATTTCTCTGCTCCTCAGTTGCTTCGATTGTCTTTGCAGCTTCCACCAAGAGGTTTAGTTTGTTGAAGCTGCCTTTGCGTAGGCTTGGCACAGCCCCCTTTTTAACTATGAGGTGTTTCACTAGTCCTGAATTCAGCCCAGTTATTCGGACATCTTTTTAAACAAAGTGGTAACTTACCCATTTGAACCTTTAAAAGGTTGACAAAATCTTCGGGGAGGAAGTGGTCGCTGCAAATTTTTGCATGTTGGCCAACGTTCTGACCACAAAAGTTTACCCACTTTTCACGCAGACTTACGTCTCTTGGGAGACTAAACAAACGCACGGACTTGTCCCTTTCGTATGAGTTGTTGCACCCAATCACAAAGCACTTCATTTTATTTCATAAATTTGTATTTAATTAAAATTAAATTGTTCACAAAACACGTCGAATCGCTAAAAAAAATCACCAAGAAAATATAGAAGCAGAATGATATGTAAACAAAACGACAAACGTCAAAAACGCTCGAGCAAACTTTTTTCTCAAATTCGATTACAAATACAACGATAGCTGATTGGGTGATCTGTAGTAGTTGGTTCATGGACATTTCAGAACCTTTGCAAAGCAGCAGTCGTCGCAACGGGATTATCAGCTGACAAAAAAATCACCTTCTCAATGGTACTACAACGAATGTCAGCAGCACAGCAGCAGCAGAAAGTAATAAAACTCAGTTGAGTAGGCTGGTAAGTAACAACGACACCTACAGAAACCACCTGCGGCTCGCATCATTACCCACGACCGGACAAGTAGCGGCATTTACGTACACACCTACAAATAACTGAAAAGGTAGACATTTCTAACACAGCATCAATTCCACTGTTTTATTTTTCCCTTTGTTCGTATTCTTTGGGAGTTATTTGCTTTGTTGGGATTTCCCTGCAGAAAAAAAAATTATCAATTGATTAAAATAACCAACTTCTAGTTAGCTATATTTCGGGATTTCTATAAATAACTAACTTTTATTTAGCTATGACAAAACTAATTTTAAGTTAGCTGTGTAGTCGTGAAGGGGTCATGCAGACGTTATCGGGAGTTTGTTTTCTTTACAAGTTTCTATTTAAATATCCTCATAAAAAAATACTTTCAAAACATCCTCATAAAAAAATACTTTCAAAACACTTCTTTTCTGCACTTCACAGTGCTTCGTATTCAGGACAAATAAAATAAAGGTCGAAATTTTAAATTATCATTTTGATGTTATCTTTGCATGATCGAATTCAAATATGGTACCACCTAAAAAAGAACATGAAAACAAATAGGCAAATATGTAATGTTAAATAAAATAAGTATATAAATAAAAATATAAAAAATTTTAAAAAATGTTTTTTTGTTTATAGTTTATGTCCAAAATTAGTTTGCTACAAGTTAATTGAAATCTAATGCAGAGGAAACAAGTTCTCAAAAGTAGTTAGTTACGGCTAAAGGAAATAGTTAATATTTAAATACCACTAGTCGACTGCTATTTAATTAGTTAATAGTTAGCTAGCTACAAGCTAGTCCCATTTCCTACAGGGTTATTACTCACTCGCCGCATTAAGTGCTATTTCACACTCATCTAAACATATATATGTATACATATGTATTCTTAATTCATTCCTATGACGATAAATAATACGAAGCAACCGAATTATAGAAAAATCTTTAAAGAAAATATTTGGTGTCTATATTTAAAACAAATTATCTCAAGTGATCCCATATTTTTCGATAGTCGGGCTTTATTGTGGAACTTTTCGGTTTTACGCAGATATATGCCAAAGTTTGGATTTTTTCGTGACTCTAACTAGTCATGTACTTGGGCAGAACCCGAAATATCACGAATATAAGAATACGTACTTAGAGACAAGAAGCGGGACCTGGATGCAGATGCACCGAGGGAACTTTATTTACTGAGAAATATGGAACGCCACCCTAAAGAAATGCGATTAGTGGTCCAAAGGTGGGCGACGGCTGCAATTCGGCGGGAGTTTTGTAGTATCCGGACATACCATTGTTGCGACGACAGCTTTGATGATGCAATAGGCATTTAACCCCCTGCCCGCGAAAAAAAATTGCCATATCTTGGAAAGGCCCGTGCGAAAAGGTTCGACACACACCACCACAAAAAGGAGTTGCCTAAGTATACACCGCGATGTCGAGATTTGATATGTCCGTCAAACTGATACGGCTGTGTAAAATGGCGCTGAGCAATACTACCAGCCCCATTAGAATTGAGCCGTTTGCCACCAAAGATAATCAGCCTTATCCTGAGTTTCGTCCGAAAAAAATTTACCTACAACTAATGCTATAGCCATAAGCTGAAGCATCTTGTACTTTTCTAACAACGACAATGTTACATGTCTTATATTAGTTATATTTCTTTGTAGATATTACAATATTTTAAATAATTGATTTATCGTTGGGTTAGTGGGGCTTAGGTGGGTGAGTAAGTCAACTGGTTTGTTTTTTAATAGTGACGGTATGTGTTTGTTCAAGCTTGGGCAGCCTTTTAGAATGTGTTTTATGCTTGTTGTAGTGTTGTTGCAATGTTCGCATAATGGAGGGGCGTTTTTATCAATTAGATGTTTGTGGGTAATTCTATAATATCTGAGTCGTCGTCTTGACATTTTATAAGATCTTTCTTCACCACTTGAGTAATAGTATTTGTTTTGATGGCTTTGAAGGCTTCACGAATTGTTAAATTCTCTAGATTATTTTTTGTGTTCCAGTTTGTTGTTTATTCAAAGAGCACGCTTTGTTTAGTTTTGATTCAGTATAGTTAGTTAAGTCAATGGTTAAAAAGGTGATAAACATTTTAAGAGGTTGTTTTGACGCGCTTTTTGCTGTTAAATCTGCCAACTCTTTAGTACGATCAAAACTAGAGTACACTTCTATTATATGGAACCCCATTTACGGCTGCCATGCCGCCAGACTCGAAAGAGTGCAGAGAAAATTTGTTCGTTTTGCGTTAAGTTCCCTTAACTTTGATGACCCGATGCCATCTTATTTTTCCCGTTGTAAACTTATTCACCTACAAACTCTTGAAACTAGACGAATTGTCCAGTTGCTCATGTTCGTTTTTGATTTGGTTGTTGGCTCTTTGGATTGTTCGGCCCTTCTGGAGAAGATATCCTTTAACGTGCCTCACAGATTTCTACGCTCATCTCTGCCGTTTTACTTGCGTGCTACTAAGGCTAACTATTACCATTTTGATCCGATTTTCCGCGCTCTGACAGAATTATATTATATTATTATTAAGAGTATAAATATTGATTTTTCGTTGCCGAGAAATATTTTCAAGTCATTTATTGATTAATTTTTCTTATAACTACTTGTGTATCTAAATCTATGGTATGTAGTTTTAATTACGATAGTCTTATTTTTATCTAGTCTGTAAGATTGTAATCATAGACTGAATAAACTGAATAAACTAAACTAAACTCGTTTCCAGGAATTTGAGCGTGTCCAGGTACCCAGATGAGCTCGAAATTATTTTTGTTTTTTTTTTTTGTAAGGAGGTTTCTTATTGTGTTTGTGTAATCGCAATTGTTGTCTGGATTTTGTATTCTTTGTACATAAGTATTCGAGTGTAAAATTTTGCGGAACATTTACGGGCCTTTACGCGTTGGTTACGGCCAGTACTGCAGACAATGGAACAATGAGCTCTATGAGCCTTGCAACGACATGGGCATAGTGCAGAAAATTAAAATACAGCGGCTCCGCTGGCTTGGACACCGACGCTCCAGTTTTGAGAGTATTCAACTCCGAACACGCTGATAATAGCAGAGGAGAAGCGAGGCCTCCACGGCGCTGGAAAGATTCAGTTGAGAACTTGGCATTTCAAATTGGCATCAAAAGGCACAGAAGAGAAACGGCCACGGCGGCGTGCTTTGTTGAATTTGGCAAAAACCGCTTAGGCGATTACAGAGCCAAATAAAAGCAAGATCTTGAATAAATAACTCAGTGATCGGGCGTTGAGGTTTAATTTCTCATGGAATACCTCTTCTAACAAAAATTCGTGAAACAGTTTTTTATAAACTTCGATAAAAATATGTTTTTGTTTAAATTAAATTAAATGCCTTTTTCGTTTCTACAAAAAATTTTGGATTTTCATTGCCCGGTTGTTAGTGCTTATGCCGAGAGGGCAATGAAAAGGTAAATTTTTTCGGTAGAAACAAAAACGCCATAAGATTATGCTTCAACTATCTTTCAATTATTATTCCCATGTTCAGAAAAATAATTATACGTTTTCACGTTAGTTAACATTTTCTCAAAATTGGACCGATAGTAAACTTCGTTTAGTTATTGCTATTTCGTTAACTTTTTGGCCGCTGTGAATAATAAACACGTGTAAAAATAGTTTATGAGTAAATTAAGACAGTTTGTACTCAAAGAAATTATTCGCGAAAAGTTTATATTCGCCTCTGAAATTCAAACAAGCATGTTTTGGATTTCATCTGCATTTCAATGAATTCGTTGCCCAAATTTTTTACTCTTCCCAAATTCCATCACTGGTACTAAGCCTTATTGTTTCCAT